CCAGAGAGAGTTAGGGAGGGCTAGAGAGAGAGGGAGAGAGGGGGAACCCTAGCACAGAGCCGGAGGCAGCGCTGGATCTCACAAACCTTCAGATCATGAGCTTAGTCCAATGTTTAACCATCTGAGCTACTCGGGCACTCCGGAAGAGTCAGTTTTAAGAATAAATAGATAGAATCATGTCTTATTTGTGGGCTTATACTTTCTTAGTATTTGGCATAAAAATCTGTAATATGTATTTATAGTGCTGGCATGTATTAAGAGTACTATAATTTGTGCACACACACACCCATCCCTAGGCCCAGCAGCCCAGCGATGAGCAACCTCAACGAAAGGAGGCACCAACTGAGAGTCTGAATATTATCAGAAGAAAGAAGTTAAACACATACTTGTGGCTCAAGGTGAAGGGAAAGAGGGAAGGAATGCCTATGGGGCTCGGGGTATATGTGTGCATCGTCATTATGACATACCATGAGAAGACAAAACAAAACATGACAAGAGAATCTCAGTCATTTCCTGCAAATCTCTTGAAAATATGAAGACAGCACGGTCAGCATGGACCCTGACTTGGGGCTCAATCCCACAACCGTGAAATCATGACCTGAGCCAAAATCGAGTCAGACGCCTAAGTCAGTGAGCGAAACAGGTGCCCCAAACACTTCTATGATTTGGAAAATCAAAAATATCTGAAAATGATTATGAAATGGAAATTGACAGCTTCCAAACACAGTTTTTTCACCAGATATTTGTAATGAATTATTGACATCAGTCAGGCCATGGATTATTTTAGGAATTCACCTTTAAGAAGTTTCTCCATTACGACTGACAACAAAGTCCATTCACTCCTTTCCACCTACTCCCTTTATTCTCACTCTAAGACAGAAGTTTGGCCTTTATTACTAACCTTTTGCTGTTTTTTTTTTTTTTTTTTGATATTTGTTCTCTACATGACTTATTTATCACAAGTGACATAGAGGGACATCGCACCTACAGGTCACTAGTTAATTTTCACACAACCTTAAGGCTGACCCAGTAGGGGATGCATCTCCCTAGTATAGGATTTGTCATAGGCGCATAAATATACTCAGCTAATCGTTCAGGAAATTATGTTTCAAGTTTCATTAAAATCCTATCCGTGGTGTAGATTTCAGATTTCTTAGCTGATGATCTCTACTCTTAGTATACTATGGTAGTACTTATATTTTTATTTGAAATAAAGTTTCATAATACAGAAAAAGATGTGAGGTCCATCTTTTCTCATCACTATTTTTACATAAAAATGCTTAACTTACAGGCTTTCATTTCATACATTTGAAATAATATTATCACTTCTTTATATTTTATGTTTACTACTTTAATTGATAACCTCTCTTTTTTAAGGGCCTGAAATGAAAGCTGATACCCAGGAACTGGCTCAGCCACAACCTGAGGGTCAAAAGGAAGATGGTCCTGTTGGGAGGCAGTGAATTTTTAGATCTAAAGCCCATTAAAATGCCAGAAGTAGGTACGTTATCCATTAAGAATGTACGTTACTTGGTTTCTGTTTTGTTGAATATTCTAAGAACAGAATTCACAAAGAAAGATACTTTCACAGAGAGTTTAGACCCTATCTACTTCACTGACTGACTTATAGACTATCAAATACAGAAACAAATTGGGTCAAAGCTATATTGAATTACAAAGATGAAAACACTTTCTTGTCTTTGAGTAGCAGTGCTTTAACCAAGTTCTAATAACTTTCAGAGTCTTTTAAAATAATTTCAGCCTTTTAACAAATTGGGAATAAATATCAGTTTGTGTGAATTATGCTGAGGCACTGTAGTAAGTTCTAGTACCTACTCTGACACAATTTGTGTGATTCTGGGAGAACTGCTTGATTCTAAATCCCATCCTTAATCTTATATAATTAGTGTTTGCAAAGCAGATATATTACAGTCATTTTTAATGCTGATTTTTGCTTTCTATGGTTTTGTTCAAAGAATAAGAAAATAATCCATTTTACAGGAGTTATTTCTTATAACTCACACCCTGCCTAGATCAAATTTTAACATCTGAACTGGGATTTCATTGCTACTGAGATAATGAATAAACTCTCTCCCTGATGTTGGTTTTTCTCTGTGGAGACCTGGATAACTGTTCTTAGATTCGTTCGAATTCTAGATTATTCTGGCTCTTCGGAAAAACTATACCAATTGAAATCCTGTCCCCAAAGAAGGCTCTTTAACTGAATAATAAAATGGCAAGAGATAGTCAAGTTTCTAGTTTCTGTGGCTGATCAAGTAGAGAGATGCATGTGGTCACTAATGCTCAAGTCAGCTCTAAGATACCTATGCGAAGCACACTCCTTGTCTCCACGGTCAGACTTCATGAGCGATGGATGCTATGACGTAATCCCCTCCGACACATGGCATGTTACAGATTTTTGCCTTGAGACATGAAAGGATAAGATTCGAAGTCCTAAGACAAGAACCCTAATAATTCCTGACTCATCAACTTAAGTATGTTTTACCTGCATATTGAAAATTCCTGACCAGCAATTACAAGAGCTTCTGAGCTTAAAGTAAGCACTTGATGTTTAAGGTATAAATTGCCATCCATCAGTGTACTAAACTTTTTTTGCTCTACATTGCTGAACTGTTCCTTTAGACTATTTACATTAATTTAGACTACTTCCAGGAGCCTATTTTACATGGCTAGAAGGTACTCCTAGGAAGATAATGGCCTTTAAATGCATGTTTTTAAATAGACAATACATTGCATGATCATTCTATATAACGGTAAGGAAAAAAGTGCAACAGAATAAACCTAAGGGAAAAAGTAAGAGGTACTTAATAAAAGGTGTGAATCCTTAGTAAAAAGAAAGGTATACAACTAATACATCAGAAATATTGTTCATTTAAAAAATACTTATGAAGAGTATCCACTAGTTTACATAATCTTAAGGAAAATGGAAAAAGTCCAAATACATACACCCAAGCATATGCAATATTGAAAATGAACAAGACACTGACAGACATTGACTATTTTATGTAATGGAAAGTGATGCGATCTTGAACTCTACTGTTTTCAAAATATGGATTAAATGGTTGATTTATCAGGAAAACATAGATTACTTAATAAATCCCAGTAGCACCTAATTATCTAAACACCACAGTTACCATAGGAAAACTTAGGAAATGTATCAGAGTTGTCCCTCAAAAGTATTTGCTTTTAGTAAATAAGATGGTATTGTATACTTGAAAGGTGATGAGAGTATATCTTCAGCATTCTCACCACACAAAAAAAGAGTTAATTATGTGAGGTGACGGATGTGCTGATTACAGTGTACATGGAGCACATCATCTTGTACACTTTAAATATATACAATTATACTTGTGAGTCATTCCTTAGTAAAATTTTTAAAAAGCACTGACGTTTAGAAACAAATGTCTGACTTTTCTAGGTATCTCTTCCTCCCTCTCCCATTACCTCTCCCTCCTTGTCTCCATTCATTTCTTCCTTCCTTCCTTTTTATGGTTACCTTTCTCGTAAGGTGTATGTGAGCTTCACATTTGATGTCAGAAAGGAAGGTAATGACTCGAAACTAGTGTGACCAAATAGTTTATTATACAAACTCAACACTCTCAAGTGTGAGAAGGACATTCATTCATAGTCACACTAGACCTCAGGTGGAAATAGGGACAAATGGTTACCCTACTTTAGCAATCACATCAGCACTGAACTCAACCGAAGAAACACTTTTGCACCTCTGCGTGATGGAGAAAAAACAGTTGTTGTACTGAAATTTCTATTTACTTCAACAGTGACAAATGAGACATTACTGTTTTAATATCTTATATTCAGAATATTTTTCAATTGCTTTATTTAAATAATACTGATGTGTAAATTTCTTTTGTTTCTTGGGTTGTTTTGTGTGTTATTTGAATTTTTAGTAAAAGTACACACAATTGTGCTTTCATTTAAAACTACCTTTGAATACATCCACATCATTTAATATGTTCTGAACATGCAGAGCCCTTTTGTTTCCTAATACCAGTAGAAAGAGTGGCGTGTTTCAAATACATTGGTAACATTTGTTTGGAAGTCTGTCTTCTAAAAAAAATCTGTGGTTTCGTTGTATACCATGAGTGCCATCTAAATAAGGATCTGCTAAGTAATGTTCCCAACTGTGATTTTATCTTACAGGTGAAGGGCACAGATTTAAACAAAGACAAGCTGAAACCTTGCAAACTGCTCTTAGGTTACCTATTTGACTATTAAAATTCTCAATAAAGTTTTAAACTATCCAAAAAACTCTGGTAGCTCGTTTTTAAAACTATTATAAGTACTTGATGCTATTGAAAATTATCTTATTATTTGAAATTTTATATTCAGATGGAACTGGTATACATAAATATATTTGAACATTGATATTCTTTCCAGCAATCTTGGTAATAATTAAGACTTAATTCCAAGAGGTTACGTCTACGTCTTTTTTTCAAAGCCTTTTTAAATGTTTATTTCTGAGAGAGAGCGAGAGAGAGAGAGAGAGCATGAGAGAGCATGAGCGGGGGAGGGACAGAGAGAGGGAGACACAGAATCCACAGCAGGTTCCTGGCTCTGAGCTGTCAGCACAGAGCCCAGCATGGGGCTCAAACTCAGGAACTGAGATCATGACAAGAGCCAAAGTCAGATGTTTAACCAACTGAGCCACCCAGGCGCCCCTGTTTACATCCTTTTTTTTTTTTTAATTTCAAAGTACACAGTCATATTATCATATTTTCCTTGATGAGTAACAGTTTAGTTTTGCTATTTTAAATATTACACGTTTCATCACAAGGTGCTCTGCCAAGAGTCAGGCCATCCTGTAGCGTAGCTTTACCTATAAGCCTAAGTGGGGACATGCAAAGTCACCAGAGCACTAAGGCAGAGCTGCAGTGTCTGGCACAAGACAAATGGCCATATGCATGGTCTCTACAAAAATAACATCTATCCTATTGACTCCAAAATGGAGGAGATGCTTTTCCTGTCAGGGTCATTACAAGTGATTAACTAATTCAATACATATGCATTGATTCCCAGCATGTTTCAGGAAATATCTGGGATGCTGGAACTGAAAAGACTAATGACCTGCGGTCTTAATTATGGGGGATAGTACACTGGGGCAAAAAGTCTTATAAACAGAAACGTGGTTGAAATGTCAAATGGAAACAGAAAAGACCTAGAAAAAAAAAGTGAACGGGTGGCCAGGAAGCAGGAGGAAAACCAGGAGAGGAGACTCATTGTTAGTCTGGATTCCCACATTATCTGGATTCCCACATCAGCTGGTCACTGGGTTTGCATACATGATCCTGCTGACATGAGGCTAGGTAACATGTATGCTTTATGCTTAAAACTACAATAACTGGGGGCACCTGGGTGACTCAGTTGGTTAGGCGTCCTACTTCGGCTCAGGGCTTGATCTCATGGTTCCTGAGTGCGAGCCCCGCGTGGGGCTCTACCCACAGCTCAGAGCCTGGAGCCTGCTTCAGATTTTGTCTCCCTCTCTCTCTGCCCCTCCCCGACTTGCACACACGTGCACTCTCTCTCTTTCTCTCTCTCTCTCAAAACTAAATACTGAATACTTAAAAAAAAAAAAAAGAACTAAAATAACCAGATGGACCTCAAACATAAAATACAATTGACCCTTAATGCAGAGGTTAGGGATACTGACACCCTGCATAGTCAAACGTCAATATAAGTTTTGACTCTAGCAAAATGAAGCTGTTAGTTGACTACTTTTGACCAGAATCCTTATCAATGACATAAACAGTCAACACATACTTTGTTTTCATATGTATTGTATCCAGTATTAGAATAATGTACAGAAAAATGTTAAAGAAAATAAGAGAAAACATATTTACAGTGCTGTACTGTATTATCAAAAAATTCTTCTGTATAAGTGGACCCACAGAGTTCAAACTCATGTTATTCAAGGGTCAACCGTACTCAGAATGGCCCCTTTTCATTAAAAAATATATCTATCTCCTCAGTTATTTCCGTTTTTGAAGGAGATAACTGAGGATCAAAGAAGATAGGATCTTTTTTTGTTTTAATACTTTATTTATTTCTAGGAGAGAGAGAGAGAGAGCGTGAGCAGGGGAGGGTCAGAGAGAGAGGGAGTCACAGACTCCGAAACAGGCTCCAGGCTCTGAGCTGGCAGTCAGCACAGAGCCCGATGCGGGGCTCGAACTTACGAACCACGAGATCATGACCTAAGCGAAAGTTGGACGCTTAACCGACTAAGCCACCCAGGCGCCCCAGAAGATAGGATCTTATTCAAGGGCTACACGTTGTCTTCTTAGTTACCTTAGTGTTATGATCTTCACTGTAGAGCCTTTTGCCTCCTTAGTTATATTTATTTTATTTTATTTAAAATGTTACTTTATTTTTAAAGCATTTGATTCTTTTGATGCTATTGTAAGTGGGATGATTTTATTTCCTTATCAAATGTCTCACTATTAGTGTGTAGAAATAAAACTGATTTCTCTATGTTTTTTTACATCCTGCAATTTTACTGAAATCGTTGATTAGTTACAAGTGTTTGATTCAGTCTTTGGCGTTTTCTATTTACAAAATTCTATCATCTCCAAATAGTAACAATTTTACTTCTTCCTTTCTGATTTTGATACCGTTTATTACTTTCTCTTGCTTCATTGCCCTAACTGAAATTTCCAGTACTATATTGAATAACATTGGTAAGAGTGGGCATACTTGTCTTGTTCCTGATCTTAGCCGGAAGGCTTTCATTCTGTCTCTGTTGAGGATAATGTTAACTGTGGGTTTGCTGTAGATGGTCTTGATTCTGTTGAGTTACTTCCTTCTATTTCCAGTGTGGTAGAGGTTTTTTATTGTGAAAGGGTGTTGAATTTTGTCAAATCTTTTTTCTGCATCTCTTGCAATCATCACGTAATTTTTCTCTTTCATTCTATTAATGCCTATAGTACTTGATTAATTTGTGTATGTTGAACCATCTTTGGATACCAGGAATAAATCCCGTTGGTCATGGTTTATAATCTTCTTAACGTGTTCTTGAATTCAGATGGGTAATATTTTGTTGAGAATTTTTACATTTATAGTTAAGAAATATTGGTCTACAGGTTTTCTTCTCATGTGTTGTCTTTATCTAGCTTTGGTGTGGGATAATGCTGGTCATGAAGAATGAATCTCAAAGTGGACTGTCTTCTTCAATTATTTGGCCGAATTTGAGAAGGATTAGCATTAATTCTTCTTCAACTATTTGGTAGAATTCACCAGTGAAGCTATCTGGGCATGGGCTTTCTTTGCGGGGTGTTTTTTCTAATTCAGCCTCCTAACTCTTTTCTTGGTGTGTTCATAATTGCTAGTTCTTCATGATTCAGTCTTGGTAGATAGGATGTTTTGAGAAATGTGTCTATTTATTCTAGGTTCTCCAATTTCATGGAGTATAAATGTTCATAGTTTCTCTTTTGATCCTTTGTATTTCTGTGGCATCTGTTGTAATGTTTCCTCACTAGTTTCTAATTCTAACTCAATCTCGTTTACTTCTGCTAAAATTTATGTAAATGCAAAGAAAAGCAAACCAAATTTTAAAGACCAAAGTTGTTTATATTATACTATCAGTTATCAATCATTACTATAATTCTGTAGTGATTCAGATAGTTGTCTTCAACATGGAAGAAACAAGTAGAACAGTGCACTAGGTTAAGAAAGTCCAGAAACACTTCATTTTTAAAGTATTTATTTAAATTCCAGGTAGATCACATACAGTGTAAGATTGCTTTCAGGTATACAATATACTCATCCGCCAATTTCATACAACACCCAATGTTCATCATACCAAGGGCATTCCTTAATCCCCATCACCTATTTAACCTAAGCCCCCAACCCCTATCCTCTCTGGAAACTATGACATTGTCCTCTTTAATTAAAAACAGTCTGTTTCTTGGTTTGCCTCTCTCCATTTTCCTTTTCCCCATTTGCTTTCTTTTTTAAATTCCACATATGAGTGAAACTATATGATATTTGTCTCTCTCTGACTGACTTATTTCACTTAGCCTCATACCCTCTAGGCCTATCAATGTTCTCACAGATGACAAGATCTCATCCTTTTTGTGGCTACATAATATTCCTCTGTGTGTGTGTGTGTGTGTGTGTGTGTGTGTGTGTATTGTGTGTGTGTGTGTGTGAATACCACATCTACTGACAGGTTGCTTACCTACCTTTGCTATTCTAAATAATACAATAAACATGGGGGTGCATATATCTTTTCAAATTAGTGTTTTCATGTTCTTTGGGTCAATACCCAGTACTAGAAGTATTGTATCATATGATTGTGAGGAGGAAACCAATAGCCTTTGAGAGCGTTTGGGTGGCATGACTCCTGCCCTCTGAGAAGGAAGGTTCTTGAAGTAGTCATCCTTCACCTCACAGGTGTCCCATCATGACCAAGAGAGGATTTCACTCACATGTGGAATTTAAGAAACAAAACAAATGAGCAAAGGGGAAAAAAAGAGAGAGTGGCAAACCAAGAAACAAACTCTTAACTATAGAGAACAACCTGATGGTTACCAGAGGGGAGGTGGGGGGGGGTATGAGTTAAATAAGTGATGAGGATTATGAAGTGCACTTGTGATGATGAACACCAGTCCATACCCCTAAGGTCCTACAGGTGGGAAACTGAGGGGTAAGAAAAAAAAAGAAAAAAGAGAAAAGGCCAGGTCGGCTCTGGGAGGTAGGGTCAAGCCTGGGTAAGAATGACTACTCCCAACACCTTGCAAGACTGACAAGGCTTTGGCTGCCAATCACATACCTGCCAAAACACAGGGCCAGGAGATGAGGTTTCTCCTGGCTAGCTATCGACATTGAAATAAGGGACAAGTTTCTCCCTTTTTCCTATAAATGGGTTATTCCCCAACCAAGGCCATTACTCCTTTGGAATGTCTTATGATTTATTTTCGTTTGCACAAAGGCTTGGCTCAATACAAATTGGAAGAGGGAACCTGGCCTCCAGAGGGAACTATCAATGACAGCACTATCCTACAATTGGACTTGTCTTGCAAGTGTAAAGGAAAATGGGGAGAATTTCCCTATGGACTTTGTTTTGGGGCCTTAAAAAATCAAGGTATATGTAAGCAATATAAGGTGGATCCTAATTTAATGCAAACCGTTTCTAAAGTCCATCAATCAGGAGGGGAAACAATTAAGGGCCCCTTACCTGTATCCAAAACAGACCTAGAGAAGGAGGAAGGAAAGTCTTCCACCACAACCTCCTCCTCCTAGTACCTCAATCTATATAATTAATAATAATAATAATCATACAATTCTGCTCCCTGCTACCCACCTTATCCAGGCCCTCCCTGTACTGTAACACGCATGTTTCCCTTACAAGAAGCTAGAAGGCCAGAAGGGAAAAAAAGCTTTAAATTACGAGGCTTAAGACAGATAAAAACAGATCTAGGTCAATTTTGTGATTGGATACGTATATAAAAGCTTTTCAGAATATTATATATGTTTTTTAGTTGACCTGGAAAGATATAATGTTTTGGTTAAATCAGACTCTTCATAAGACAGATGTTTTGAAAAAAAGTAAGGAAACCTAAGACTTAGTTCTTAAATTATTTAAATTAGCCACTATTTTACAAACACAAAATGGGAGCCCAATGGACTTCCTGGAGCAGGTGAGGGAGGCTCTTTTTAAATATATGGCTATCTCCCCTGACATTCCTAAGGCTGAGATGTTTTTCAAGGACAAATCTGTCACTCAATCAGCCCTAGGCATCCAGAGAAAATGCAAAAATTGGCTGTTGGCCTTAAAGGGACCGTGAAGGAGCTCTTACAAGCTGCCAACTGGGTATATCACAAACAAAACAGAAAAGGGCACTTAAAATCTGAGGCCTTAATTGTGGCCTTACATTCTATGTCAAACTGGACTTTCCGAGGTCCTGGCACAAAGTACCATTTATATGGCTGTTTAGAGCACTAAAATGAGAATGTCTTCAGGGGAGACAACCAAAAACAAACAAACAAACAAACAAAAAAACCCATAAGCTATGCCCCTTGTGTGGAGACAATCGCTGGAAACCTGAATGCGCTTGGGGACCTCTATCTGTGAGGGCTCAGATAACCAATGACCCTGGAAGGGACTAACCAGGGCCTGGGGCTCTTCACGTGGTTCCCCTAAACCATCTGTCTTATCAGAAACACAGAACCTCAGGTAACTCTCAATATAGAAGGGAACCTGGCTGATTTGCTTCTTAACGCCAGAGCTACCTTCTCTGTCCTCCTTTCGACTCCAGGCCAACTATCCAAATGCGGCATGACAATTAGAGGCATCTCCGGAAAACTTACAGCTAAACTTTTCTCTCAGCCCCTGGAATGTATAAACCTATGCCAGAGAGGCGGACTTCCCTTGCTAGAAACGGACATTATAACTAAATTAGGGACTATGGTGCTACTGACTCCAGGACAGATAAACAATTATGTGAGTTTTTGAAAATTACTGGATATTGTAGGCTATAGATACAAGGGTTCAGGAGGATAGTTGCCTGCTCTATCAATTATTAAAGGAGACTCCATCCCACCTACTCTCCCCTCCAAACAAACAAACAAACAAACAAACAAACAAACAAACTGGGATCTAACTCCTAGATGCTGTCTCCAGCCCTTAAAATGGCTACAAACAGAGCAGGGCAGTTAATATTACCAAGCTCACAGAGCTAAAAGATCATTAAAACACGGCATCAGGCCTTTCATTTAGGGAGAAAGAAAACGTATCAAATGGCCCCAGAAATGTTTACTGGAAAAAGAAATTGTTAAGCACAGTTCTGCAAGTAGTATCAGCCTGTGAAGTATGTCTTAGAAACAATTCTTTCAACCACAAACTTGCTCTCCCAGGCAATCAACCAACTACTGGAGGCTATCCAGAAAGGACTACCAATCATGTTTCATTCATATGTCAAGGTCAAAAACATTCCAACATCTATTGGTATGGGTTAATATTTTTACTAACTGGTAAAGGCCTTCCCCTACAAGATGGAAAAGGCACAAAAAGTAATTAAAATCTTCTTTATAAAATAATACCCAGGTTTGGCTCACTTAAAAATTTATAGGTACATAATGGTAAATGGCTGCTTTGACTCTTTCTCTAGTAGAACTCCTGGCTCTTAAAAAAGTTTTACACCTCAAAATAAAACAAACTGTGTGCTTCTACTCAGCAAAACGCTAAATAACACTTCAAAGCATTAGATGCTTTAAAATTTTTTAAATTAAGTCAGGGCTTAAACTCTTGGAAACGAAGCCACCACTAATTACTTACTTCTCCTGATCCTCCATCACCTGGGTTATGAGAGATTCCCTGACACATGTTGTTTACAAAGTCAGGGTCTCTCCTAGATTATTTGACAAGTTTGGAAACTGTCGACATTATCTTCAGATGCCATCTTGTTGGTCAGCATCATCTTTACTTTGTATTTTTCTGTTTGTATCTGCTAATGTTTATGCTGCCTCATGCCTGCCAGCCTTCCTGTAAAACCATACTGTGTGCCACTCGACTTATCCTTCCGTAGACTCTAACTGCTACTGTACCCCCACACCGCCCCTCATCAGCTTGAATAAGCCAGGACGGTCATCGTCCCTGTTCCCTAACAGCAGGAACAGGTCCTATTCCAAGGGAGAAAAAAATAGGGAAAGGGTTCACATTAGGCGGGGAGAGATAAGGGACCTTCAGGGAGGCAGACTGCAGCTGCAGGTGGGAGGCTAAAGAAGCAGATGGGGTTCTCCCCTTATAAAATCCTTTATGGGCACCCTCCCCCCATTAACAAGGGCATAAGAGGGGCATCTAAATGAGAAAAGCTATCCAACTGTAAGACAATAGATGCGGGCCCTTGGCTCTACCCTAACCACCTTACACCACTGGGTTAGGGAGCAATTACTTGTAAATCTGACCACAGAGGCTCACCCCTTTGAACCGAGAGATGCAATATGGATAAAAGAGTAAAATCTCCAACCCCTGAAACTACTCTGGAGGGGCCCGCTCACTGTCATTTTGTCCATCCCTACTGCAGTGACGTTAACAGTCCCTGGATCCACTACAGCAGAGTGAAGCTAGCATCTCAAAACTGGGAGTGCATTCCTGATCCATTAACACCGTGCAAGCTGACCATAGAGAAGAAGCAATCTGCATTTCCAGAGGCTCTGGGAGACTGCTGTCCTGCTTGAGTCACTCCAGAAGTTGGCTAATCTAAGCACAGCAAAAGCTTAAGGAGTTGATGGTGTGATGAAACAAAAGACTGTCCTTATTTCCTATATGTTTCTTTACTGTAATACACTGTCACGCCTTGTTTCTCACTATTCTTGTGATTCTGGTTCTACTCTTTGCCATAGAATTGGCTGAGGCCACCCAGGTGGGCTGGAAATGTGATGAGCGGTTTCTGTTAACACTCATCTTCCTTTTGTGGATACGATACTTCATCTGTACCAATATGGGAAAACAATGGCCATAAGAGACTAAAAAATTAGATCCCCACAAACCTTACAGTAAAACAAAATACCCCAGTCCTACTCCTGGGCTTTGGCTTCTCAAAAGCTCAATTATTGGGAAAAACTGTCTTGCCTAGTGGGGAAAATGTTCACCATCATCTCTGTTAAAACTTGCCTAGGCCAAAGATTTTATAACTCAACTGCCCAAAAAACCCAATGGTGGGGGACCCCAAATCACCTTGAGCCAGATCCCCCACCCCTTGTCTAACTTCTCTCATCTCAAAGAGAGCTGGGACAATGTCAACGCAACTATCAAATGGCAGGCCCCAGATGAACTCTTCTAGATGTGTGGAAGGACAGCCTATATAAACCTCTAAACCAAGATGATGCTCTTCGACCCTAAATTGAGGAGTCGGTGTATCAAAGTAAGGAATGTGGTAGGGTCCCCTCCCTAAGGAAAAAACAAAAGACCTCAAGGCAACCTGGCTATACACGACAACATCCCTCATGACCTTGTAACGTGAGACTACTTAATCCGATTGCATGTTTGTGTGTACCCATATATGGGAGAAAAAAATTAAAAAATATATTTAAAAAACTACGCCTCGTGGCGTTCGGGGCTCAGTTCTTTGGGCATGAACCCAACTGAGCAGTGCTGGCAAAAATGAAGTTGCTTCCTAGAAAAAAAAGCCTCCCTGTCATGACTCTGTAGGAGAATCCTGCTACAGCGCTTGTTTAAGCAGGAGACCGGCACAGACCAGTGGTTGAGACAAGTGCTGGGAAAAGAGGAGTCAGAGCCCAGCAGTTGTTCTGAACACCCTGGAGCTCTGGCTGCCCACCAGGCAAGAACTTCCAGAGGTGCTAGCAGAGGGGTTCGCAGCGAGGGTACAGGCAGCCACCCTTAGGCTTTTGACAACTCATTTGACTGCTTCTGCCTTCGTTATGCACCTCCCCAGAGTGAAGGACGTGGAGCACGTAGCCACACTGACCCGTGTGAAGGCAGAGCAGAATGTCAACAGATCGGAACTGGCTCTTTGCCTAGTACTTGATGCCCAACGAATATGTCCAAAATGCATTTCATCTTCTGATCCATAGGAAAGGTCTTGGTTGCATTTGTACTCTTGGATTTGTGATGTGCCTTTCTGCAACATGTTCATGTTTCCAAAAAAAAAAATTGTGGTGATGTTTGTAAGCCAGTGTATCCAGTTTACAGGTTATTTGCTTTTTGAGACAGAATAACTGACAGAAGAATTAAACTGTTATCTTTTAACGTACTGTGGTGTGTATAAATTGATGTTAGTTTTACCAGCTAACAAACTGACAGTAAACTTTAATTTGGTAATGCGGAATTAAGTCGATCCCACTCGCGTTTTTTGCATCTCATTAAAAAAGGGAGCCTTCTGGTCCTTTCCCATTCCTTTGTTTGTTTTTTCACCAGAATAGGTAGTGAGGAAAGAAACCTAAATGTAAATTGTGGAATTTACAAAGGATGCCAGAAATTATTAACTTTCTCAGTTCTACAAAGTTTTATTTTTATCAAGGCCACAACTTCCTGGTAGAATAAAACTGATGATAAATATTTCTTTTGACAAATTACAGGCAATATTTTGGGTGTTTAAATAATATGTTTTTCAGGTACTACTTAGTAAGAAACTGCTTAATTTGAATACAATAGAAGGTGCACAAAAGGAAGATATTATTTACTTAAACTTCTAGTGAAAGGCTTTATCTTGGCGTGTCTGTGGTGCCAAAGTTAATTGGAAGTTTCTTTCACACAGGTGTTTGAACAGTGTACTGGCCTCCCGAAGAGTAGACTCTCTGCAGTGAGAGTGCTGTGCTCTCAGTGTCGGACCCACCTTGGTAAATTATGTTTGTTAGGGAACAGGAACCAATACAAGTATATTCCCTTTTTTATTTCTTTTAAATATTTTTTAAAGTATGCTCCACACGCCAAGTGGGGCTTGAACTCACGACCCAGAGATCAAGCGTCGTGTGCTCTATTGCCTGAGCCAGCCAGACCCCACGAAGTATGTTCATTTTATAAAGAGAGAAGAGAGCAAGGTTTGGAAAGATTGACTTAATCATACTTCAGGTTACTTTGTCACCCCAGGGGGAGCAAAGAACTAAGATAGCCTTTCTCTAGCCTGGCTGGTTATTATCTGATTAATTGTAAACTATTTTGCTTGAGCACCATTCAGCCCAGAACCCTCACTTTTCTCTCGCTAGCTCTTGCAGGAAAAAAAAAAAAAAAAAAAAAAAAAAAGCCAGACCTAATGAAAAAAAAATTGTTTTCATTAAAAGCAGCTCTCAAGGCACCTGGGTGGCTCAGTCTGTTAAGCATCTGACTTTGGCTCAGGTCATGTTCTCACAGTTTGTGGGTTCCAGCCCCACATCCCTCCAGATCCTCTGTCTCCCTCTCTCGCTGCCCCTCCCCCTCTCGCACACAGGCGTGTGTGCATGTGTGCACACATGTACTCTTGCCCTCTCAAAAATAAATACACGTTAAACAAAGTAATTCTCATATGACCCAAGAAATGTGCTTTTTCTGGACAAAATAGACACTGTAACAAACAAATGGAAGAGAATCAGAAACCCTAATAATCCTACCACCTAGTGATAACCACTGTGAAAACTTTGTTGTTTCTCTTTCCCGATTTTGTGTGTGTGTGTGTGTGTGTGTGTGTGTGTAGAAATATATAGCTTTTCACAAAAAACAAAATAACAATATTCTATTCTCAGGGTGAAATATGAGTGGGCAAGTAAGATTAATGTCCAGATCTGGAGAGATAATCAAGATTGTTCCTGGCTGGTTGAGTCTGTGGTTGTGAGTGCTTTACCATTTGATGTTTTTTTTTTTTTTATTAACAGAAATTAATTTTTGAAAGAATGATGTTGAACGGTACAATAAATTGATAAAAGCCTTCCATGATGAAAAAGTATGACAATTGACCTTTTGAAGGAACAACGATCCAGAACAACATTCTGTTGTTGCTTGGAATGGTATGCTGTTGTGTTCCCTGGAAATATTCAAGATTACTTCCTTCTCATGCTTATTAACAATAGATTACACACATCCATCCCAACATAGACTTAAATAGCTCTCAAGGTCCTTGTGGGTAACTCTTATCAGAGCTAACTCTTCTCTGAGGGAAGCATAACTTTATCAAAAAGAAGTATATAGCATTGTGTTGCAAACGTCTTTAGGCTTCTTAAAATTATACATATCTATGTATTATGTATATTTAGGTCGTGACATATATTAACAACAGTTTTATGTACACTCATACACACTCCACTAGAACCAGGAACCCAGTGTTGAGCAACCTTGTCAAAAGGAGCCATCAACTGAAGGGATATTACACCAGAGAAGGAGGGAGAAGGTGAAGGAAAACATTGGTTCAATGTGAAGGAAAGAGGAAGAAGAATGCCTATTGGGTAAAGTGTATGTGTGCATCATTCATTATGACATAATCAATAAGAGGATGAAAGAAAACATTAAAAAGAAATCTCAGACATTTCCCCAGGGGAGCCTGGCTGGCTCAGTCAGAAGAGCATGGGACTTTTGATCTCTTAGGGTCATGAGTTCGAGCCCCGTGTTGGGTGTAGAGATTACTTAAATAAATAAATATTTTTAAAAATACATTTCTCCAAAATGTGGCTGAAAATTTGAAGACAATGTAGTTTGTAGATTAATGCCATCCCTTGCTATAAAGAATTCCACCCCCCTTATTCACAACTGAATTTGGGTGCTTAAAAGTCTTTCCTTGCCAGGGCTCTCGACTGACAAATCCAAGGAAATTGCATTTCATTTTAGTCATAAAATTATGCACTATTTCTTAGTTATAGCATCAAAAGTGTCAGCAACTGTTTATAGCATGTGTAAATTACTAATTCAACATACCTTACAACAACCAGAATAAAGCCCTCTTACATAGGGATTTTAACCTATTTTTTTTTTCTTTGAGACAGAGAGAGAGAGAGAGTACACAGGGGAGGAGCAGAGGGAGAGGGAGAGAATTTTAAGGAGGCTCCATGCCCAGCGTGGAGCTGGACACGGGGCTCAGTCTCCCTCTGTGAGATCATGACCTGAACCAAAATCAAGAGTCAGACACTTAACCAACTGAGCCACCCAAGTGTCCCAACATTATTTTTTTATTTTTTGAAATCAGAAAATTGAAGTTCAGGAATTATTTCATTAAGGAGCACTTGGAGTTGGAGACAGAATTCATATTTCATTCCAAAGATAGTATTCCTCATATCATCTGAGTTTTTGTAGGAAAAAGTGAATGATTTTGCTTAAAATACTTAATACTCAGAATGTGTCTGTACTGCAAGGTAGCTTAGTACTGATTCAAGAATAGATGTATCGATGGAGTAGGACATAGACTCCAGAAAAGAGTTCAATGAATGATGGCCAATGTTTTCTGCGATGATGCTTTTATATAGTAACTTTGTAAAAGCTGGATAACTCAGGATACTGGCATACAGGTAGCTGTTTTAGTATAACTTTTTTTATTTTTAAGATTTATTTATTTAAATTCAAGTTAGTTAACATACAGTGTATTATTGATATCAGGAGTGGAACCTAGTGATTCATCGCTTATATATATAACACCCAGTGCTCATGCCGAGTGCCCTCCTTAATTTCCAATGCCCATTTAGCCCATCCTCATCCATCTCCCCTCCAACAACCCTCAGTTTGTTCTCTGTACTGAAGAGTCTTTTATGGTTTGCCCTCCCCTCTCTGTTTTGATCTTATTTTTCCTTCCCTTCCCCTATGTTCATCTGTTTTGTTTCTTAAATTCCAAATATTAGTTAAATCATATGGTATTTGCCTTTCCCTGACTGACTTATTTCACCTAGCATAATATACTCTAGTTCCCTCCATGTTGCTGCAAATGGCAAGATTTCATTCTTTTTGATTGCCAAGTAATATTTGATTGTACACGTATACCACATATTTTTTATCCATGCATCAGTCGATGGACATTTGGGCTCTTTCCGTAATTTGGCTAATGTTGATAGTGCTGCTATAAACATTGTGGTGCAAGTGCCCCTCCAAATCAGCATTTTTGTATCTTTTGGGGAAATATCTAGTAGTGCAATTGCTGGATCATAGGGCAGTTCTATTTTTGAGGGACCTCCCTAATGTTTTCCAGAGTGGCTGCACCAGTCTTCATTCCCACCAAGTGCGAAAAGGTTCCCCTTTCACTGCATCATTGCCAATATCTGTTGTTTTCTGAGTTATTAATTTTGGCCATTCTGATGGATGTGAGGTGGTATCTCATCGTTGTTTTGATTTGTATTTCTGTGATGATGAGTGATACTGAGCACCTTTCCAGGTGTCTGTTTGCCATCCAGATGTCGTCTTTGGAAGTTTCTATTCATGTCTTCTGCCCATTTCTTCACTGGATTATTTGGGTTTTGGGTGTTGAGTTTGATAAGTTCTTTATAGATTTTTGGAGACTAATCCTTTATCTGATATGTCATTTGCAAATATCTTCTCCCATTCTACCGGTTGCCTTTCAGTTTTATTGATTGTTTCCTTCTCTGTGCAGAAGGAAGCTTTTTATCTGGATGAGGTCCTAATAGTTCATTTTCGTTTTTGTTTCCCTTGCCTCCAGAGACATGTCTAGTACGACGTTGCTCCAGCCAAGGTCAGAGATGTTGCTGCCTGTTTTCTCCTGTAGAATGTTGATGGTCTAGGGGTGCCTGGGTGGCTCAATCGGTTGGGTGTCTGACTTCGGCTCGTCATGATCTCGTGGTTTGTGGGTTCGAGCTCCACGTCAGGCTCAGTGCCGAAAGCTTGCTCGGAGCCTGGAGACTGCTTCGAATTCTGTGTCTCCCTCTCTCTCTACCCCTCCCCCACTCACACTGTGTCTCATTCTGTCTCACAAAAATAAATAAACGTAATTTTAAAAAAAATTTTAAAGAATTTTACGGTCTGGAACACTTTCTTACACCGTACACAAAAATAAATTCAGAATGGATGAAAGACGTAAATGTGAGACAGGAAACAATCAAAATCCTATAGTACGATTTTTAAAGTGACCTTATTGTGGTTAAATCCTTTTATGATTCCCTACGTCTACTTTTGAGATCCAATATTTTCCATTCCCTCTTCTTTTAAGCTTAATTATTTTACATCATTTCATCCTCTCTATCACTTATTGATTTCTCTGCTTCTTCCTTGTCTTCATTACAGCCAGTAAGTTTTGCTTCTCGGTTATCGCATGTTTAATTTAAGACAGACTAGTTTTTAGGTCTGTTATCTCTGCAATAAGTGAGTCCCTGGTGTCTTCTATGCTTTTCTCTGGTTCAGTGAGTATTCTTATGGTTGTTACTTTAAATTCCTGTTCAGCCAGGAATAGAATAGTGAACCCAGAATTGGACCCACAAATGCATGACCAAGTCATCTTTGACAAAGAAAAGAGTATCCAATTGAAAAAAAGACAGCCTCTTTAACAGATGGTTCTGGGAGAACTGGACAGCAACATGCAACAGAATGAAACTAGACCACTTTCTTACACCATACGAAAATAAAACTCAAAATGGATGAAAGACCTGAATGTGAGACACAATACCATCAAAACCCTAGAGGAGAAAGTAGAAAACAACCTCCTGGACCTCAGCCGCAACAATTTCTTACTCGACCCATCTCCCAATGCAAGGGAATCAAAAGCAAAAATGAATTATTGGGACCTCATCAAGATAAAAAGCTTCTGCACAGCAAAGGAAACAATCAGTAAAACTAATAGGCAACCAACGGAATGGGAAAAGATAGTTGCAAATGACATATCAGATAAAGGGCTTGTATCCAAAATCTATAAGGAACTCACCAAACTCCACACCCAAAACACAAATAATCCAGTGAAGAAATGGGCAGAAGACATGAACAGACATTTCTCCAGAGAAGACATCCAGATGGCCAACAGACACATGAAACGATGCTCAACGCCACTCATCATCAGGAAATACAAATCAAAACCATACTGAGGTACCACCTCATGCCAGTCAGGGTGGCTAAAATGAACAAACCAGGAGACTCTAGATGCTGGCAAGGATGTGGAGAAACGGGTACCCTCCTACACTGTTGGTGGGAATGTAAACTGGTGCAGCCCCTCTGGAAAACGGTGTGGAGGTTCCTTAAAAAATTAACAATAGAACTCCCCTATGACCCAGTAAAAGCACTGCTAGCAACTTATCCAAGGGATACAGAAGTGCTGAAGCATAGGAGCCCATGTACCTCAATGTTCATAGCAACACTTTCAACAATAGCCAAATCACGGAAAGAGCCTAAGGGTCCATCAGCTGACAAATGGATCAAGAAGATGTGGTTTATCTATACAATGGAATACTACATGGCAATGAGAAAGAATGAGATCTGGCCATGTGTAGCAACATGGATGGATCTTGAGGGTGTTATTCTGAGCTAAATAAGTCAGGCAGAGAAGGACAGATACCATATGGTTTTCCTTATGGGAGGATTAGGAGAAAATTAAAAGAGGACCATGGGGGAGGAGAAGGGGAAAAATAGTTGGGAAGAGGGAGGGAGGCAAACCATGAGAGACTCTTGAATGCTGAGAACAAACTGAGGGCTGATGGGGGGGGGAGAAGGGGAGAGGGGTGATGGGCATGGAGGAGGGCAGTTGTTGGGATGACCAGTGAGTGTTATGTGGAAACCAACTTGACAATAAACTGTGAAAGAAGATTAAAAAGAAGAAGATGTGGTTTATCTATACAATGGAATACAAGATGACAATGAGAAAGAATAAAATCTGGCCATTTGTAGCAACGTGGATGGAACTGGAGGGTATTATTCTCAGTGAAATAAGTCAGGCAAAGAAAGAAAGATACCATATGTTTTCACTCATATGTGGAACAGGAGAAACTTAACAGAGGACCATGGGGGAGGGGGAGAGGAAAAATTAGTTAAGGAGAGGGAGGGAAGCAAACCATTAGAGACTCTTAAATAAGGAGAACAAACTGAGTGTTGATGGGGGTGGGGGAGAGGGGAAGTAGGGTGACGGGCATGGAGGAGGGTACTTGTTAGGATGAGCACTGGGTGTTATATGGAAACCAACTTGACAATAAACTGTATTTAAAATAAATAAACAAACAAACAAATACATAAATTCTGGTTCAAGCAAATACTTATATCTGTTTCGATTAGATCCCTGGCTGTGACCTTTTCTTGTTCTTTCTTTGGGGATGAATTCCTCCAATTTGCATTTTGTTTAGGTCTCTATCTTCTGTATGTTAGGAAAGCATGTTATATTTCCTACTCTTGAGACTAATGACGATATTAAGAGGAGGTCATTACTAGCCAGGCCCTGGTGCTTCACGAAGTGTTTCTGATGTACACTGTGTGCATTCTGCTGTTGTGTTTTGGCTGCTCTTTCCCACGGTTCAGTCCACTACAAAGTTTCTCCTTGCTTGCAGTGGGGAGTGTTTTGGACTTTGTTCACTGTGTAGCAAGTTTTAACGTGGTGTGTTTTGGTCGGCTTGTTAAAATAGACTACATCCTATTCCCACTAGAGCTGAAGCTTTGCAGCACTCTATGGCCCGCAGACATGGGGTTGTGTCTGTAGGGGAATTGTCCTTGTCTTCTGGGGGAGGGGCCTGCTGTTGCTCTGGCTCTCAAGCACACTTGCCGTAATAAAAAAGCACCTTCAGAGTGCAGTGGGGCAGGGCTTGGTGTAAGTGGCTCAGGCCTCTACTCTGGACACTGTGCTGCTCACTGATGTCCATTGGTGCTGATGGTCAGTGGGTAAAATGGCATCAACACACTCTCTTATGCCCATCGAGGGGAGTTTGCACCCACTGCTGTTCAGGAAGCCCTCACAGAAGAGTGAACAAATCTCTGCTCATGTATCCCAGACTTTCCTTAGATCCTTGCCTTCTCCTTCTGTGTCCAAGCCCACCAGGCAGTTCATTGCTCCTGTGTTTCATCTCAGACATGCCAGCTGGGTTTCAAAACCCCAGATTTTAAGGGCCTGACACGGCACGGACTTATGCTGATCGTCTAGGGGAGGGTTTCTCTGCATTGGGACTGGTACCAGTTTGTCCCAGGAGGACAGTCGCTCAAATGCACAAGGGATTGGAGCTTATGGCAGAGGGCAACAAGAAGCCAGGATCCAGGTTAGCTGTCCTCAGCAGGTGTCTCTGCTCCTATGCTAATGAAGTGGCAGTACAATTGCATCCACCAGCTCTTTTGTCCCCTGAGACGCATTGCCACTTCTCCCAAATACACTCCAAGAGGGGGAACTGTCTCAGTGCATGCAGGGGGTTGACTGGTCTCCTTGGGGAGGGGCCTGCCGCTGTTCTAGCTCTCGAGCACAAGCACATGTACCGTTGTAAAAAAGCACCTTCAGGGGCACCTTGGTGGCTCAGCCAGTTAAGCCTCCAACAATTGGTTTCGGGTCAGGTCATGATCTCACGGTTCGTGAGTTCAAGCCTGGAGTCAGGCTCTCTGCTGGCAGCACAGAGCCTGCTTGGGAATCTCTGTCTCTCGGCACCTCCCCCACTCATGCTGCCTCTGTCTCTCTCAAAATAAATAAATAAATAAACTTTAAAATTTTTTAAAAAATCATCTTCTTCAGAGTTCAGGGGCCAGTGGGGCTTGATGTAAGCAGCTCAAGCCTCCACTGTGGGCACTGTGCTGCTCACTGATGTCAGTTGGTGCCTTGGGGAGGGCGGGGGGCAAGGAATGTCATCAGCCTGCTCTCTCCTCTGTAGAGAGGGGAGTTTGCACCTGCCACTGTTGACGAAGACTCCCAGAGGAGTGAACAACCTTCCATCGTGTGTCCCAGGCATCCTTCAGATCTTTGCCTTCACCTTATCTGTTCAAGATCTTTAAATTTTATATTAGGTGTATTTTTCAAAGCACGGAGATGATGCCAAAATGACCACTACTTGTTTTTCGGTGTTCTATGGGGTGTTTACTGTAGGTGCCCACACTTATTTACAGGGTGCAGCGAAATCAAGAAAGGTAAGTTCCTGACATTGAATACACTTGGCTAATAATATTGTCTCCATTCCCCACAAGATCTTGGCAGTAAATAAGAACATCCACATTTTACAGAACTGGGGCTCAGGGATGTTAAGAGACTTGCCCACAATCATAGAGCGTGATCTCACCGAATCCAAACACTGTCCTAGCTGTTCTGACACATGGTCCTGATTCAAGTTGGTCTTTTCCCCCAAATCTTCAGCATCCCAATAGGTTCTGACAGAAGATAATTCTGAAAAGTGACCATTTACTGGTCTTAACTGTCACTACGATATGAACTTGACTGAAGAACAATTGCAGGGACACAGGTTCTTTCTGTGGCCCACCCACTCCCATCATTTGTTTCACGTTCATAGCCTAGGCCATGATTATGTGAATCTTAGGAACTTGGAGATGTCCTGGGTCTGTTTTGCGGTTGCTCTAGTGTCTGTTCCAGGGAACCACACTGCTTTCTAACAAGGAGGTAGAGAGGCCTTCATCAAATACATATCCCAGCACTAGAATACAGAAACCCCCATAAATATTTTTCTTTGGGGCACAAACAGCAAAAGGTAACAGACCCTGAGTTCTGCCATTTTCAATCTCTGTGACCTTTAGCATTCAATCACTCTGAACCAATTTCCTCTTCTGTCATATGGGGGAAACATATGCCTTGCAAACTGGCTCTGAATATTTCAGGGAATAACTACCTGTCAGGTAATTTATGTGGAGGGAAGGT